AATTCACCTTAACTTTTCCATTAACTTCATAATAGCCCTTCACCATTATGATCATTTCACCTTAATTACTAAAATTTTCAGCATTACAATTTCTCATTCAAAATAATACCAACATATTTCCAAACTCACAAACAAGTCCCTAAATTTTGGAACTTTTCGAATTCCACCTTTAAATTTACCAAATTTGCAAATTAATTCTAAACAACTTTCCAACTTAAAATTCCAACATTGCATAAACAAAATTTAACATTAAGCACTCCAATTATCACATTCTTTCTATAATTTCCCTTAATTATCAAAACATATAAATTAGCCTTTTTTTCTAATTCAAGCTTCCAAATTTATTCAACTTGATCTCCAAATCACATAGATTACTTCTAATATTAATTCAATACTATAGGAATTTTTTTCAATATCCCCCCGATTTATCCCCTATGGTCGAAATGCTTATTACTACCTAAGGTAGACTTTTTTGTTCAATTCCAAGCATGAATTCAACATCCTATGATCAAATTCATGCATTTCCAATCATCACAACATCAAATTGAATTAAAATCCAATGATTCCTTATAAACCCTAAGTTGGTCGAACCTCATACAAGCATGTATAAACCTCATGCAATCATGTATAAACAATTTCAATCATCTTGCAAGCCTTAGAATTAATCTCTAATCTTAAAAACATAATAATCTTTAATCAATTCTTCAAAATAACTAAACCCTACATAAACCCTAATCACCATATCTCAACACACAAACATCTTCACCATTAAATTTTTGTACCAGTTGATAGAGAATTTCATGTAGATTAATTCTCTATCTAATAGCTTAATCCAAAAACTAATAATGTAACTTGAAAAATTAAAATAAAATTCTTACCTTAGCAAGCTTTGAAGTTGTAGCCAAGAGAGTTGCTGAAAATTTTCCTTCTTGATTATTCTAGTATAATTTAATAAGACATTTGTCTTAAAAATCAATATAATTGAATTTAAAATTCAATTATTGAGAAATTCCCTTTTTACCATTAATGAATCTTGAAAATTACCAAATGTCATTGCAATATTCTCCATTAAAATATTTCATAGTCAAAGATGAATCAACTTGGCTTTTAATTTTTACTTTGTCTAAAATATGAAAATAATATTTCCAACCATTATCTAACATCCTTCTAATTTTTGGAAAATTTCGATTCAATTCGATTATCCGATCTCTATACCGAACTTTATAGCTTTTAACACAAATCTCGTACCGAAAATATGATTCTCACGAAAATTCTTTCTTTAGGTCGAACTGTTCATTTACAGGCTAAAATATATAAAATTTTAAAATTACATTTTTGGTCCCTAAACTTTTCAATGATCATACATTAGCTACTAAAGTTTCAAAACTTGCATTTTAGTCACTAACCAAAATTTGGCGTATTACATTAACGAGGCTTAGTTTGGGGTAGGATAAGGCTGAAAAAATTATGTTCAAAGTCGAGACAGTAAATGTAGAATATATGAGTTCAAGCCATGAATTCATAAAAGTAATCACACTCGAAGAAGCTTGATCAAATCAAAATTTTCCTTTTTCTCCCCTTTTTCTTTTTACGATTTTCATTGCTGATTTTTTGTGTCATGTTAGAATTCTTTGTTCGATCCAAAAAATTTTTGAATGCTTCCTCTTTCTTTTTTGATTTTCCGTTCATGAAACAATTTTATCTCATGTCTCGACAAGGGTAACAAGAGAGGTGAGAATAAAATTAAAAGATTCAGGTTTTTAATATGATAAAAACAAATAAAAGGGTAAAGGCTCAAAGTTGGTTCACTAGTGGATGTAAATAAATGGGTAGGCTGGGTAGAGAAGTGGGTTAATCCTAAATACCCTAATCATCTAAAAGCATCAAGTTTCAACATGTGGTCTCAATATGTATTTAATCACAAGTTTTAGAATGTCAAAATTAGTCTGGCGCTTTCAATCAAACAAATAAGAAGAATAAAAAGGTATGCTTGTTTAGGCTCAAATTTCACAAGAAGGGGTAATGTGTATTGAATCAAGAAACATATTAATCAACAGATTCATGGAACATCAAGCAAAAAATTTAAAGAAAAATAATAATTATATAGTTTTTATTTTCTTGTACCTTAAATTCGATAAAAACGTGATCATAAACTCCTAAGGTAATAAATGAGACAAAACAATATTCAATATTAATAGCAAGAGATTTCAACAGATCAACCAAGGCATCTCAATTTTAAGCATGCAAATAAGCAAGCGATAATCTAATGCCAGTGTTCTCTAAGTTCTTTACCCCCTCACTTAAAGCATATTGTCCCAATATGTAAAATTAAAGCATAGGACAAAGAATAGAGATACTCTCTGCGTTTAGTGATGGTTTCGACCGCGATCTCAGCTTGATCAAAGTATTCGGGTATCTAAAAAAATTCAAACAAAAATAAATGAGTATGCAACAAATTTAATAAAATTGAAAATAAAGTCAAATAAAATAAACAAAAATAGATAGAATAAAATAAAATAGAATGAGTTGCCTTCCATTAAGTGCTTTATTTAATGTTGTTAGCTCGATGACATGATTCAGACTACAAGTTCCAAAAAAGATACTTCCTCCACTTCATACATTTTTTCCATCGAAGAAATTTCTTACGAGAAATTCTACGATTATAAAGTTCCTTTATTTTGTCCTTGTATATTTGAACATTTTCACAAGCTTTTCTTCGGATCTTTTTCAACTTTGGAAGTTTACCCGAAATCGATAAATTATCTACTTCACTCAGAAATATTTTTCTTTAAATGTTCTAGAGGTGATTTTAATTCCAACTTTAATACCTACAAAACAGATGGGAAAATTTAGATTGAGAATGCATCAAATTTAAATTCTTACCTAACTTTTTGCCTGATGACTGCGAGTCCATGTTAGAAGCGATACAGTTTCAACCTTCGAATTCCTGTATAACTCATCAAAAAATTTGTGATCAACATGTTCATTCACAGAAGGTTTAATTATATCGACAAAGAAAACGTTAGCCACAGAGTAAGGATGTTTCATCGTCTTATAAACGTCAAATTTCACCACTTCATCATCAAACTCCATGGTGAGAGTTCCGCTTCTAACGTTAATTTTAGTGTTAGACATGCTTAAGAATGGGCAACCAAAAAGGATTTCAAATGAGGTGTTGGTTCGGTCGTTTTCCATGTACGTTTTCAAGAAGTCCTTCGGGATAGATAATGGATCTGTCGACGAGCTGAATCTTTATGCTAGTTTATTTCAATGGCTCATCAGAAAGTGAATTGTAAACGGAAAGCAACATAACATTTATAGAAACACCAAGATCACACATAGCACGTTTCATTCTTACCTTGTCAATTTTACAAGGTATATAAAACATACCTTGGTCATTTAATTTTGATAGAAGTCTACGTTGAAAAATAGCTGAGACATTTTCACCTAAATTTACCTTTTCATTGTCGGTAAATCTCTTTTTATTCGTGCAAAGATCTTTCAGAAATCTTGCATATATCAACACTTTTCAGATTACTTCAAGAAGCGGTATTTTAATCACCACTTTTCAAAAAAGTCAAGAATTTTCTTTTCATCAGCTAGTTTGTCATGTTTTACTAACCTGAAGGGAAACGGAGGTGGCGTGGGAGGAGGTTATGAGTTATCTTTCTTTTTTTCTCTGGGATTTCGTGTCAACTTCTTCCTTTTATTTATGGGATCTTAATTCTTCTTTTTCTGTCTTTGATTCTGAACAACTTCCTTCGGGATTGGTGCGATAATAGTCCCACTCCGAAGGGTGATGGCACTAACGTTTTCTCGTGAGTTCGTCTCGGTTTGAGATGGTAGTTTTCCTTGTGATTCCATTCTTCCCACGGTCTGAGCCAATTGACTCATTTGTTTTTCGAGCTCTTGAAAGTGAGCTTCAATTCTATTATGAAATTGTTCTTAAGATAGTACCAACCGTTCAACGATGGATTCCAATGATGATTGCGGCGGTTGGTACTGTTGGGGTGGAGGTGGCTTCGGGTTTTGCCCATAGTTTAAATTTGGACAGTCTCTCAATCCCAGATTATATGTACTTGCGTTAGGGTCATATTGTCTCTGTGAGGTCTCATAAAATTTCCAGCTGTGTTAACATGTGCAGTACAGTCTTCTTGTAACATCGGATAACAATCTGTGAGATGGTCTGACATTTTGCATATTCTGCAAAATCTAGACCCAAAAAAAAAATAGTAAAATATGTTTAATTCATCTTTTAATTGTTGTTTCTTGGGAAATAAAGTCATGCACATATTCAAACATAAATAACCCAAATTAGCACTATAAAAGGAGGTAAAAAAATTAATTAATAACAAAATATTAACCAAAAAAACACTAATCACCCACATCGTGCACGTCTGCACATGTACGAACCAACAATTGGTTTCATATTTTCTTCAACAACGTGTGAATTAATTTCTTATTCAAAACTCCAAAATTACCAATTTTTCCAACATTAATAACAATGGAAAACCTTAAATACTTTGAGGTCCCAAGTTAAATCCCATTATATTTGATTTGCCTCGTGAATGTGTTAATATAAGTATTAAATTTTAAAATGCAGTCCAATTTATTAAAAGAAGAGTAGAGTCTAGTGTGATTAATTTATGCATGCATTTGGATATGGATTTCTTTAATGTACCAAGAATTGCATGTTGCATGGGAGGTGATAATGTATGATTTATTTATATATTTAGTTGGTTTGGTTTTCTCAACATTCTCTACCTGTGAAAGATATAGATGGAGGACGGCCTTCACTCCTTTCTCTTTCTCTGTCTCTCACCATATCCGTATCTTGGAAAGTAAAGAAAGAGTTCCATTTTCTAAGTTCTGGGATTGGGGGAATCTTTTGCTAAGAAAATATAAAAAGTAAAGATAAAAGTTTGAGAGAGAAGAAAAACAAAAACCAAAGGCCACCGAAAAGCAAGAAGACGTTATCATGAAAGCAAGAAAAAGGATCGAGGGACTAGAGGGAAAGGCCAACCCACACGCATTTAGGAACTCATGCATTCACCCACACCACATGCTCATACTTCTATTTCCTTTATTCAACACCTGTATCTTCTTCTCTTTCTTTTTTGTGCTCTTTAAAAATGAGGGAAGTCATAAGTCAACCTCGCCTCATAATTTGGTCTTGGCTCTTCAATGCACCACCTCTTTTGTCTTTTTCCCATTATTATTATTAGTAGTAGTATTTGGGATTCCTCCGAGTCTTCTATATAATTCACCGTTCTCCGTCATTCACTCCTTCACCATGGGAAACATGAGGGTGCATCAGTTGGCACGTGGAATCTGGGAGCACGAACCCTCTCTCTCCCTTGGCTGTAAGCGCTTACGCCCTCTCGCTCCCAAGCCATCCTCCGTCTCCTCTTTCGACCTCAAGAGCTTCATTAGACCAGGTAGTAGTGGCCCTACAAAGCTTGGCCCCTCCAACCATAAACGCCATTCTCCTCAGGTACCCCCTTTCTTAATTCATGGCCTCTACGCATTCTTATTTCTTACTTCACAAAATCCTTTTACTTCTATTTCATTTTCTAGTACACTTATGAAAATTGAACGATGTAATAATTTATGAGTTTAAGTTTTTAATGGAGATTTAATCAAGTAGAGAACGCTAAATTTGGAAAGAATTTTTATGAAGCAGAACTTGATCATGTAGGTGGAAACACACCCCGGAGGTACGAGGTGGAATCCAACGCAAGAACAGATAGGGATTTTGGAGATGCTGTATAGAGGTGGGATGCGAACTCCAAATGCACAGCAAATAGAACAAATCACTGCTCAGCTACGTAAGTACGGCAAGATCGAAGGCAAAAACGTTTTCTACTGGTTCCAAAACCACAAAGCACGCGAGAGACAAAAGATGAAGCGTAGCAGCCTTGGCCTTGTCCATTGTGCAACAAACTCGCCTCCCATAACTACCATAACGTTGGATACTAGGGTACGTCCCTTGGCTTCATTATATGTTTTTCCACTGCGAACATAAAGTTTACCAAATGATCATGCATCTTCTTATTATAGGTGGAAATAACGGAAAGATCAGATGAGGATAGTCCATATAAGAGGAAGTTCAAGAGCTGGTCGTTTGAGTACATGGAAGAAGATTGCAGATCGCCATGTAAAGAGGAGGAAAATAGAACTCTGGAGCTATTCCCGTTGCACCCAGAAGCCAGATAGGAGGAGTTTGAAACTAGAAAAGAAAAAGAAATAGAAACCCAATTACCATAAGGACAAAAACACTGGTAGAAAACCAGAACTCCATTCCCATTATGATATGCTTTGAAGATGATGATGAAATGTGGTAGCTTTTTCTTTCTCTTTTTCTTCTTTTGCTTCGGGAAAGAAGAAAGACAAAATTGTCTCTCCTCAACTCTACTGCTTATTTATTCCTGACTTGGAACCAAAGCAGTTTTATGTCACTTTCTTCCTGCTGGAGAATTATTATTTCTTTTTCTTTTGGGTGTGTGATCACTTTGACTACTGGGGAAGAAACTCGTTGAAAGGAATCCTTTAGGTTAAATGCAGCCCTCCATGGACACTGAAGTCCACGTATCTGCTTCGCATTATTCGTCCCCTTAAGCTAGCCCATACCTTCTCCCTTGAAAGAAAAACAAAAGTAGATTGATGGTGGGTGTCCTTGAAATAATAAATTAAGATGCATAATCTATCTCCTTTATGATTCTGTTGCTCGGAAGGATTCTGTAAAGTTGTTACTATATATCTATATCTATCTACTTCGTCAGTAGTGAGTTAACTGATGCGTATTTGACTAATTATATCAGCATTTAAAAGCAATAGTTAATAGTATAATGCGGGCCAGATATGAATATATTTTCAAATGGAAATGGAGGGTTTTCTCTCGGTAACCGAGAGTGAATCACTGATTACCATTCAAGAAAAGCCTGTGATATATAAAAGCAAAGTGGCTTTCTCTTTCCCGCTTTGTCGCAAATAACTTAGATTTTTAGGATGAGGAGAAACTATACAACTCTAAATATAGATGACAGGAAATTAATCGATCAACTCTATATTTTCAGAGAACTACTCAATGCTTCTGGAAGGTAGAAGAGCACTAGTTTTCCCATCTACTGATTCAATGAAGTAGCATCGCACACTGGAAATGTACAACACAAGCGGATGAGATGAGATTAACTAGTTATTTCCTAGAACAACAATAGGACAAGCTCAAGTGAGACCCAGCAGTAGGTGGGTTAGCAGAGTACTCATATGAAATGGAATAAGGAATACTAGATTAAGTAGAATTAAAAGATTTCGAGTTAATTCAGTTGAGTCTTAATTTATTGTCCAAATTTTATTTAGAAAAACTTGAATCAAGTCGTTCGACTTTTATGACAATTAACCCCTTAGTTTTTACAGCTAATTTATCTAAGCATATCATTTTGAATATTAAACATCAAAATAATATCTATTTTTTTTATTATTTATGGTAACAACACTCTTTTAATATTAAACTTGATAAGTCCTGTCAAGTTAACTGCCCTCTGCTCTTTTTGATTAACATGTCTCTGGAAAGGATTCGAAGTGTACATCAGAAGACTAGATTAAAAAAATAAAAAAAAAATTATAGAATTTTATTCAAAAAGAAAACATATAATATCTATGTTAGCACAAACTGGGTGGAGAGTATTATTAAATGTATTTTAAGAAATTGTATTTAAACAATTAAAAAATAAACAAACATATAATCAATGTAAGTTTTACATTACCAAATTCTACCTTCATTATATATTAATTTTTTAACATGCATTTATTAAATAATTGAAGATAAAATTTACATGTACACCATACTAATGTACTGCTCATGCCAACACGTATCTTTAACAAATATTAAGTGTATTTCTTCTTTTTAAAAGGAATTTATTTATTTATTGTAATTATTTTTCTTTTATTATTTTAATCCTTAACAATTCGTATATTGCTTAAAATTAAAGAAAAATACACATTTTGTTTATTGCGTCTTTTCAAAATCCTTCCGCATTAATCAAAATATGTTTAATTATTTATGTCTTTTGGAGGTTTGAGTGTTATGTATGCAAAATCACAGTCTCACTTGTGCATACCTAAAATTTTAGCAAAAGATGAGTGTCATTTGATATTTATTTATAAAATGTTGTATAATTGGATCAATTAACCAACTTTTATAGCATCAAAAGGCTTTTTTAATAGAAAACCCTTTTTTTATTAATTTATTAAAAAAATAATCCCACCAAAATTTATTTGGAAGTATGACCCTTAAATGACTCACATAGAAATACCTCACATTCTGCAAAAAGCGTTTAAGTACCTCACATTTTGCATGGCGCAATATCCTTCCAACGTGGAAGAACTTTTCAAATAACCTAATTTAATATTTGGATAAAGGACCTCATGTTCTGCGTATAGCGAGATCCCTGAGAAATTGAAGCACCTTGCATTTTGCCTACAACAAGGTCTTAAATAAAAAAAAACAAATAAAAAAGAAATTTTAAAAAATGATAAATTAAAAAGATAAAAAATTAAAAATAAGATATTAAAATATCCTACATTAAAAGATGATAATTAAAAAATCATAATTTAAAAATTCCTAATTATAGATTTTATTAATATTTTTAAAAATAGAAAAGATGGTAGGGTAATTAAAAATGTTATTAAAATATCCTAAATCATTTAGTTATAAGAGAGAAGCCAAGATTAAAGTATAATGACAAATAAATTAAATATTTGAACATAATAACAAAAAAATGCATAAATATCATAATCAAATGTCATAGAAAATATCAAACAAAATATCTAAAATAAAATATTAAATAATATCATAAAAATCTGAAATAAAAATATCCAAAGTATAAATGCATCCTAAAAGTTCAATATATTATGCAAATGATCAATCTTCAACATCTGGATGAGAGGAGGAAGATTGACATGAAAAAGCCAGAAAACGAGCATCTAAAGCGTCAATACAAGTTCCCATGGCACCAACGCGACTGTGCGAGTATTAACATGATGAAGAACCCTTCAAAACGAGTGAATATATAGTCATAAAGAGACTCTAAAGTGACGGGAGAGCGAGGAGGAATAACATCAACATGTGCATTGACTCCATGAGCGACGAGATCATCATCGGGAACAATGCCGTATTATTTTTTACCCAATTTCCATTTTAAAACCTAAAGCTCATTTTCTTAACCAATGTGTAATCAAGTTTATTAGATAGGGGCATGAGAGATGGCACTTGTTTTACTAGCTCAAGCGTCTTTGTCGTATAAGTTTTGGTCATATGCTGTCCGTTTGACCATTCATTTAATTAACAGACTTCCTACTCGAATGCTTGCATGGTACACCCCGTATGAAAAACTGTTGAACAAGAAACCTGATTATAGTGAACTGAGAATATTTGGGTTTCGATGTTTTCCGTTTCTTCGACCCTTTCAGCAGCACAAATTTGAATTTCGGTCGCAACCATGCATTTATCTTGGGCCTAGTCAGCAGCACAAAGGATCAATCTGCATGGCTTCATCGGATAAGATCTTTATTTCAAGACATGTTGTGTTTGATGAAGAATGTTTCCCCTTTTCTATGCAAACTAATACTGACAAATTATGGAAGAATTGTCACAAAGGAGGGCACAACAATCAATGCTAGTCCACAAAGATTCCTATAATGCTTGGTGCTGATCGTATTACTCACAGGACACTTGTTTCTACATGTGATAATATTTTACTGCCAAGTGGTGCAAACATGAATTTGGAGTCAAGTTTAGTCCAAGTAATGGTTCTCAAGAAAGTGAAGCAGTGGCTCCTAATATAACTCACTCACTGTCACAGTCAGATGTACAACCTAAATAAGTTTCTCAACTGGATGAGAGGCACTCAGACGCATCGCATCACTCTAATGAAATTCAAACTAATGGTAGAGAAGATCTTGATGATGTTGGTCATATTAACAATCACCCTATGCAAACACGTAGCAAAAGCGACATTTTCAGACCAAAGATGTTCCTTGCCTCCTGTACAATGAAGGATAAAGCACCAGCCACTGTTCATGAGGCCCTAACTTCACCAAACTGGAAAACAACAATATTAGCTAAACTTGATACCATGCAAAACAATGGCACATGGTCCTTGGTTCCCTTAGTTGGTAAAGTTGGCTGCAAATGGATATTCCGAATCAAGAAAATCCGTACGGCACCATACACAAATACAAAGCTCGTCTCATGGCCAAAGGATTCTCTCAAGTTCTCGACCAAGACTTTGGTGACACTTTTAGCCCGGTAATCAAACCAACCACAGTAAATTTAATTTTGTCTCTTGCAGTAACAAACAATTGGAAATTAAGGCAAATTGATGTCAACAATGCCTTCCTTAACGGTGACTTGCACGAGGAAGTCTTTATGCGGCAGCCTCCTAGGTTCGAACAAACTGCTTCAAATGGTTCCATCTTAGTTTGCAAACTAGAAAAAACACTATGCGGTTTGAAACAAGCGCCACGCAATTGGTATTCGAAATTGAAAAGCTATTTATTGGACATTGGCTTCATCAACTCAAAGGCTGATGCCTCCCTATTTGTCAGAAACACAGCTGGGGTATGTACGTATATGCTAATATATGTGGACGACATTGTTGTCACAGGTGGCTCTGATCATGATATAGAAAGAGGTCGTTAGCCTTCCGGGACAAAAATTATCTTTAAAAGATCTTGGAGAATTACATTTCTTCCTTGGATTGGAAGTCAGAAGACAAGGGAGCTTGTTGGCTTTAAGCCAAAGAAAATATATTCTTGAACTTCTAACTAAAACTGGAATGAGGGGTGCTAAAGTTGTTCCAACTCCTATGGTGTCTGGTCAAAAGTTGACACAGAGTGAAGCTGGGCGACCATTACAGGATGCAAAAAGTTACAGGAGTATAGTTGGGGCTTTATTGTATGACTGTCATACCAGACCTGATATCACATTAAGTGTAAATAAGGTAGCCCAATTCATGCACTCACCGTGCGAGAAGCATCTTGATGCAGTTAAGAGAATTCTCAGGTATTTGAATGGGACATTAAACTACAAACTTGTCTTTACAGCAACAGAAACGAGATCATTGGTTTTACAGATGCTGATTGGGGAAGTAATACAGATGACAGAAGATCTACATCCGGTTTCTGTGTTTATCAAGGGGATAATCTGATATCCTGGTGCTCAAAGAAGCAAAGAAGCAAAAATCAGTTTCCCGTTCCACAACTGAAGCAGAATATAGAAGCGTCGCTGACGTGGTCTCTAAGATAGTTTGGATTCAAGCTCTTCTACGTGACTTGAAAATAAAGCAAGATGTCACACCGGTTGTATGGAATGACAACACAAGTGCTGTAGCGTTGAGCGCTAATCCTGTATATCATGCTCGTACTAAGCATGTGGATCTTAACGTGCACTTTATCCGGGAGAAAATTGCTGATGGTTTAGTTCAAGTCAATTACATTCCCGCTGAACATCAGATAGACGATGGCCTTACCAAAGTGCTCTCAAGTACATATTTTCCAATGTTCAGACTTCAGAGATAAGGTTAATGTGTTAGTTGAAGAAGAGGCGAGAATAATTTCACTCAATTCGAAAAACTAAAATTTTCAACTCGATTCAATTCGAATAGAATTGATTTCGAGTTGTAATTTATTAAACTCGACTCGAAAAAAATTTAAAATTCAAATCGAGTTGAAAAATACAACTCGAATAACTCGAAATTTTTTAGTAACTAATGAATTTATTTTCAAGTTTGAGTCAAGTCCTTGAACTTTATACGATATATGTATATCATGTATGAAAAAAATATATTTGTATTGTATATATGGTTATAGAAACTCAATTAAATTAGAATCAAATAATATTATAATATTATAAATATTTATAATTAAATTTAAACAGAAACTCGAAAAATCGACTTGAAAAAATTTCAAATCAAGTTAGAGTTATAAAATATCGTAAACTCAAATTTTTTTACTCAATTCGATAGAACGCTCATCCCTAACTCGAAGAAGAAACAAAAACAAATGGAAGAAGCAAGGAGGATATTGAAGGATATGCATAGCTGTTAACGTTGATTCAGCTGTATAGCTGTCAATCAAGTATCCATTTAGCGTGAAAGCCGCCATTTGTTATGAATTTCGGCAAGCTATTAGATATTAAGCATGACAAAAGTGCCTTAATAAGATGTGGAATTCATGAATCATTCTTGATGTGTTCAGAATACTTTTCTACACAATGGTAACATCTGTAGTTTAACTTAAAATCTTTTATGGACTTATATTTTGCAATTTCATGACAAATTTGTATGATCAGCAGTAGACAGATGGAGGGCAGCCACCATTCCACGTGTGATGGTCGCCAGGCAGGGTGTGCTGGCATGAATGACTCGTTTCGGACCGCGGACAAAAAAATTAGCCCAACTTAATAGACCCTACCGTCATGCTACGTATAACAATCGGCAAATAAGACATACAATATCTAATTTATAAGAATGAAAAAAAAAACCCACTCAAATGCATTAAATATTTACTCTAATAACAACAAGGAGTGATATTTTTTTAATTAATTATTGTTATCTGAACTATTAATTTATTAATTTAAATCAAATACTACATAGATAAAAGTAATCCCTTGAATCTAATTTGACAGGAAGAAAAGACGAGTACACAAATCAAAACAATGTTAGGTTAATTAAAAGGAAAAGTAATTAAAAGAGAGTCAGAATTGTGAGCCAAATTCAAAAGAAGCTCACCTTCCTTAATACTTCCGGCACTACAAACAAATCAATTTTGATTTATTTAATGCCTGAAGCTACTATTGCATTTAGCTACATAATTCTCCACTTTTTAACTTTCCAGTATCCTCCATATCACCAGCATTTCCCCCAAAATTTACAAACTTCCTATATATTAATTTAAATTAAGATACCGAAATTAATACAAACAAATAAAAAAGATAAAATGTTTAAAATCATGGTCCACTGACAATAACAATAATAACACAGCATGACTATAATAAGCTATGATCAAGTTAGAGGGCATTGATACATGAAGAAGAAAAATAACAATACAACTGGGTGGGAGGAGTTTGCCCTTCCCCAGAGTTTGGCTCTAGAAGTCAAGTCGCATCATTGTCAGCTTAGCAGCCCTCCTTTTCCATTTAACTCTCTTCGCTCTTTGACTCCCGCTGTTGGCACACTTGCATCTCTCTCTTTACCGATCTCATATGTACCATCATTCCCTGGGGTAGTGCCTCTCCTCCCGTCCTCCGCCTCATATTCTGTCTCCCTCCTTCCCTCCCTCGTTTCTTGACAGAGAACAAGAATTCAGGTTACTTTGTAATTTGACCGTGTTTTATTTTAGATGCTAGAGAAACGAAGCCCGAGTAACATGTGAGAGGAAGAAGAAGAGGAAAAAAAGACGAAGGGAAAATAATGTCTGATTATTCCTTCTTAAATGATCAGCTCTCGAAACGCACCTCCATTTTCGGTTTGCGTTTGTGGGTTGTTCTTGGAATCTGCGTTGGAGCTGCTATCGTCATCATTCTCTTCCTTATCTCCCTTTGGTTCACTTCTAAACGCCAAAAGAAAGCGACCCTTAGCAGCCTCAACAGCAGCTTTAAGCCTACTCATAACTCTATCATCCCCAGTGTTTCCAAAGAGATTCAGGAAATCCGGGTCGACCCATCTCGTCATTCTAATCCCGAGACTAAGCTTCACCAAGCTTCAAACCCTGATCCGCTTCCAGAATCGGAGCATGTACTGGTTCTTCATTCGGAAGACGACAATAGCACCGTCACCGGGCGCAACAGAATTCACATTGAGATAGGGAAGGATCATCGGATTGCATATCCCGAACATGGAGCCGTGTCGGGTCATGGATCGGGTGAATCCAGGTATGGTGATCAGAGGATGGCGACTGTGGCGGCTCCGGAAGTTTCCCACTTGGGCTGGGGACATTGGTATACGTTGAGAGAGCTTGAGGAGTCTACTAATGAGTTTGCTCCCGAGAATGTGATTGGTGAAGGCGGTTATGGAATTGTTTACCGTGGTGTTTTGGAAGACAATACTAAAGTTGCTGTGAAGAATCTACTAAATAATAGGTAAAAGAGCTATCTTTTTCTGTCAAATTGCAGGTTATTTGTGAGTTTTTTATTCATTTTTTGGATCAGGCGTGACTTCCTCAGAACTGATATCAAGGTTTACTGCATGGAGTTTTATGTTGATGAAAATTGAGTTTTTCATGTACTTCTCTATAGGGGTCAAGCTGAAAAGGAGTTTAAGGTTGAAGTGGACGCAATTGGACGCGTAAGACATAAGAATTTGGTGAGATTACTTGGTTATTGTGCGGAAGGAGCTCATAGGTACTCTTACTGTCTCATTCTCAGTTTTCTGTTGCATGTGATGCTTTCAACTTTTTCGAATTGTAAAATCTTAGTATCGTGCAAGCATTTGCTAACAACATACTGAATTGATGGATATAGGATGCTTGTTTATGAATACGTTGACAACGGGAATTTAGAACAATGGCTTCATGGAGATGTTGGGTCTTGCAGTCCTCTTACATGGGAGATCCGCATGAATATAGTGCTTGGAACCGCGAAAGGGTAAACTTTTTTGGTTGACTAAAAAGGGTAACAAGGCTTGAATTTTCCTTGGTTTCCTCCTCCATAATTCTGACATTGTTGTTTTACAAAATTGAAATTTGATTTAGATTGACATATCTGCATGAGGGACTTGAACCTAAGGTTGTACATCGTGACATCAAGTCGAGCAATATTTTGCTTGATAAACAGTGGAATGCGAAAGTATCCGACTTTGGCCTAGCAAAGCTCTTGGGTTCGGAGAGGAGCTATGTGACAACTCGTGTGATGGGAACATTTGGGCAAGTTGAACTTCTCTTTGTGAATATCATTTTGATTATCTAATGATTTGATATGATCAGTTGGTCATGGCTGATCCATTTGTTACCGGTTCTGTTTTGTAGATATGTGGCTCCTGAATATGCTAGCACGGGCATGTTAAATGAGAGAAGTGATGTATACAGTTTTGGCATTCTTCTGATGGAAATAATATCAGGAAGAAATCCAGTGGATTACAGCCGGCCTCAAGGGGAGGTTCGTAGATATTGATCTAGTCGGTCAATGTTTTCCAATGATCATTTCTAGATGGCTCTTCTTGTGTCTTCTTATTAAATTTTTTTTTTCAATGAATGTAACTTGCGTTTACTTTTTAGGTAAATCTGGTTGAATGGCTTAAAACAGTGGTTACCAACCGGAATGCGGAGGGTGTTTTGGATCCAAGGTTACCTGAAAAACCTTCTTCCAGAGCACTGAAACGAGCCCTTTTAGTCGCTTTACGCTGTGTAGACCCAAATGCTCAAAAAAGGCCTAAGATGGGCCATGTGATTCATATGCTTGAGGCTGATGAGTTCCCATTTAGAGATGTAAGTTGAAACATGATCTCCAAGATTCATATTTGTATTTTACACTTACCATTAGTGAGTTTTAATCGTGTGTATCCCTACGCTTGTTGTTGTTAAAAAATTTAATGGACGAGCACATGCATTTCATAGATCAGCTAGATTATCATTGATTTTGTCATACAATTTTTGATTTCATACACTTTCCTAGATGTTTCATTTTTAAGGCAATATTAAGTCAATTTAATACAAGTTGCAACAAATCATATTTTAAAATTGCTTAGTGAGCATAATGTATGATTGCCCTTATTGATTGGAAATTGAGACAAGAATAGCCTCTTTCAGTGATACTTGAGTTTAATTGGGAAATGAAAAAAAAATGTACCCATGTGCCTCTAGATGGACGGAATAACATGTGCTCCCTGCAAGATGGCGTGAAGGATAGATTGACAGAGAAACCTGTGAATGAATCAGGTGACAGTAGTGGATATGAAAGTGGTGCCCAAAATAATAGATCATTATGGAGAAAACCAGAATCTGAAGAGTAATAATAGCTTTGAAAATCAAAGTTAAGCCAAGTTAACTACGTTCTTCAGAGCCAGCTCAGGCGAACACTACTTTCCCATCTCTGTATGTGTATAAATATGATTCATTCCGTCTTTCAATGCGGTATATATATTTTTGTTTGTAGATTATGCTGGCCTTTCTTGCCAATCTCAGTATATTCCATTTGCTATTTAGATGCGTTTCTTTATGTAACTTTACTAAGTTTTTGGCTTATGACATTATTAAGTAGAAAGATTTTTGCTGTGCTGTGATGCTCTGTAGGTAGGCCATTAATACCATGTTACTATTTTTAATGCTAAATACCAACTATTGTTTTATTTACATCATTTTTTGTCTGTTACTCAGGTAGATGATTATGGTATTAGTATAATCTGGTCATTCTTTATTGATACAGGGATCACTGAATTATTAGAATCAAAGTTGGAACAAATGCAAAAACCAATTTCGTAAAGCCGGATTCTATTATTTTCTGTGTAACTGAACTGCCACAGACAAGAGAGTACGTCAATAGATTGCTATTTTTTCTTACAAAAGATTCTACTTTAAATGTTCAAATGGTTGAATCTTGACAAAATCCCTTTGATTAGAAGTGATTAAATGACAATATCTTTTGTACCGAGTTGGGTAGTGATATGCTATTTTCATTATTTTCAAAGTCCAAGGTTCAAGATAAGATGAGCTCACAAGGCTGTTCAGTGGTTACAAGACACACGCCTCTGTTGTTCAGACACAGTTTGATTCGACTGCTCAGAAAAGGAGATGCTCATACAATAGTCGGCAAGAACATGACAAAGTTAAAAACTTTAGCTCATTATTTTTATCCCATGCTATTCAATCACCAAACTTCCCTCATATCTCCTTGGATACTTCATTAACCTTTGACATTTTCATACATCTACTTTGTTATTGGGTAGATTCATCTTACTTCATTTTTCGAACGAGTTCTTTCCCATGAAACTGATCTCATTGAACAACATTTGGGTCCTACAGTTCACATGCATACCTAACGAGTTGCTCTCCGGGTGAGGGCAAGAGAAAAACCTTGATAGCAGAAGGTCTATAATTGGGTTTGCTGTCATTTCACATTTTGTGTGGCCTTTCACTTTTTAGTGAAGGGGCTCTCTCTCTTTCCTGGTTAGCCCCCCCCCCCCCCAAAAAAAAAAAAACACACATACAAAACCAACCCCAAAAACACACACACAAAAACAAGAAGTGTGCTGCTGTACTTCATACGAGATTTCCCTTGTCGTCTGTTGATTAAGAATACCTTCCACAACATATAACCTCAATTGCAGATAAAATTTTACCTACGTTCCAGGTGTGGAAAATATTATAAGCCTGGATTTTGGTATGGTGTTTCTTCCACGTTTTTTTGGGACCGAGTTCTTGTATAATTAACTTTTCTTTTTTGGAAATAATTAACGACAGCTGAAGGCAATCTCATCAATATAAAAGAATTTCTTTTAGAAAAGGAAAAAAAATCTTTGGTTAAATGTAATTTGGGTATCTTTTCTTTTGTCTGTAATATTTTGTGAGATATGTAAATATCTATACGAGTTCTCATCTGTTGGGAAAAAAGGCCTTTAAATTTCGAAACACATTAAAGGTGTCGAGAACCGCACATGCTGGAATCTGGAAACAAAGAAGTAACTTTCTGAAGATAAGATTTTTCTTCTTTTCTCATTGACTTCTATGTTGTCATTGCCTTTTAGCTTTGCTATTTGAATCTGAAATGCTTGGGACAATGCTAAATACATTGTCCTCTGTTACTGTAAGAGACTAAAATAGAAAAGGGGAAGAAATAGAGAAGAATTGCAGATATAGGGAAGAAAATAGAATAAGAACAGTAGAGAAAGAAGAAGAAGAATCAGAATGGTAGAGAGAAAGGAAGCCAAACAATTTCATTCATCATATTTCTCATACAATTCTAAGGCAAAACGTATTATATTAATAATCTATAAAGCCCAAAAGCCCAGTATATATTTATTTATTTGTAAAATGACCCGTTACAGTTTCTCATACGACTCTCTGTCGAACTATTGAAGATTGGATATTATTTCAAAACTATGGTTTATTCACTGCCTCAAACCATCTCTTAGCAATAAAAGAAATTTGAAGCCCGGCATTATTTTTTTTTGAATAAATAAGATATTATTACCCAAATTAGCTGTAAACTACTGCCGTACAAAACAATCAAAGGAACAATGGCGGGGTACTACTTACAACAAAGCTAGACTATGCCCCAGTGAGTACAAAGGTCTAAATTTGTGCTATCTGTTCTGTTAATATCTCTATTACTTAGAAGAGATCCAACTATATCCTTAATAGCATAGACAATTTCTGGTTCTGTTCTGCAACTTCCTCTTAAGGTCCTATGATTCCTTTCCTCCCAAATGATGTAGTTAAAAGCGCACCATGAGAGCTTCAGAATACAAGAAATCAGTGATTTACCTTTTCATGATGCGGTCCCCCACTCCAGCAGATTGTTCCATGATGAGAAATGCTTGTTCAAACCAGACATTTGAAGGATTGATACTCAGCAAAAAGATGATTTCTAGTTTCCTTTGCATCCGAGCAGAAAATACAGAGATCGCTGGTAACAAGCCCAAATCTTTGCAGTCTATCCCTAGTGGGGAGACGATCCAAAATAACCATCCAGGAAATTATGATGTACTTCGGGACATGGAGAGGGTACCAGATCAATTTATGCCAAGGAACTTTAGTGTCTTTAGGACGGATCTCTTCCCAAATTTCTTTTGTACTTTTTGATGCTGAGATCGGAATTGATTTAGCATCACTTTTGATTTTCTGCATTCGCCTGAAGCACCAACTTGCACTCGGATGTTTATCTATGGTCCAGAAATCTTGCTGCTTAATTATGTAATTATGGATCCACGCAACCCATAGTGAACCTTCCCCCGCGAGTAGCTTCCTGGTAAGATGAATTAGGCATGCCTTATTCCATGTCTTTATGTCCTTTAGTCCGAGGCCTCCTTCGGATTTAGGCTTACAGATTTTCCCCCAACTCACCCTTGCACCAGTTGCAGGAATGTTCGAACCTTTCCAGAAAAATCTGGAGCATAATTGTTCAATCTTCTTGATAATGGACTGAGGTAAGACAAGTTGCCTGCACCAAAAATTTGCAACACTATAGAGAACGGTTTTAATAAGCTCAATTCTATCTGCATAGCTCATCTTCTTCCTAGACAATTGTTGGAGTCTGCTCTTGATATTGTCAAGAAAAGCTCAACAATCTTTTTCAGTTAGTTTTCTTGTGACAAGTGGAACCCCCAAGTAGCGAACATGCAGTGTACCATGTTTAAAATCAGAATAATTGATGATAGAATCAAAATTATTTCAAGAAAGCTCAACAATCTTTTTCAGTTAGTTTTCTTGTGACAAGTGGAACCCCCAAGTAGCGAACATGCAGTGTACCATGTTTAAAATCAGAATAATTGATGATAGAATCAAAATTATTAGCAGAGATACCAGCAGTGAAAATCTCGCATTTGCTTGTATTAAGCTTCAAACCTGAATACTCATAGAAACAGTCCAATGCAGTAATAACACCCATAACAGACTCAAGGTTTCCTTTGCAAAAAATTAATAAATCATCAGCAAATGACAAGTGATTTGCAAAATTATAAATCCAGCAAATGACAAGTGAGTAAGACCAATATTTTTGCATTTAGGATGAAAGGCAAAAATCCCTGTGATAGCAGCATTATCGAGAATATTAGAGAGGATGTTCATTACCAAAACGAATAATAAGGGGTCTTACCTAGAGGTTGAGAACTACTACGGGGCTTGATATTGTGTGGGAATGTCGATCAACCCACTTGATAACCGAAAACCACCTGAGGAACTTCTTTAATCTCTACACTCGGAACGAAACTCTCCTTCTAATGCTTCTCAGTGAATATTAGATTAGGAGGCTTTGATGTTAAGGTCATTCCATTTGAAGTTGTTGCAACTGCCTGATAATTGGATTCATTGTCGCCTACTTAGTCACCACCCTGGTGGAATTCTTTACCTTGGGAGACCTTTCATCTTTACTAAATATTGCTATAAAGGATGGGTAGTTTAGTTCATTTCTCTATTAGCTGCATCCCATTGACTTTGTCTAACGGTCTAAGCAAATCTGTCATCTTTGCATCATTGTAGCCAAGGCAGCAGGGCTGCAAAGGAAGTCGATGTAATCCTCAATGCAATGATGTCTAGAGGTGTCCCCTAGATAACATGAAGTTGGTTTGTAAAAGCAGTTCCATTGTTGTTGATCTAATTGCTCAAAAAAGGCCTAAGATGGGGCATGTGATTCATATGCATGAGGCTGATGAGTTCCTATTTAGAGATGTAAGTTGAAACATGATCTCCAAGATTCATATTTGTATTTTACACTTACCATTAGTGAGTTTTAATCGTGTGTATCCCTACGCTTGTTGTTGTTAAAAAATTTAATGGACGAGCACATGCATTTCATAGATCAGCTAGATTATCATTGATTTTGTCATACAATTTTTGATTTCATACGTTTTTCCTAGATATTTCATTTTTAAGGCAATATTAAGTCAATTTAATACAAGTTAAAACAAATCATATTTTAAAATTGCTTAGTGCGCATAATGTATGAACCATGCATGCTCTGTTCTTCATTAGTGCCCTTATTGATGAGAAATTGAGACAATATTAGACTCTTTTAGGGATACTTGAGTTTAATTGGGAAATGAAAAAAAAAAGTACACATGTGCCGCTAGGATCTATCAAATGATAATTTGGTCCAACCTTGTCAAGATTATGCTTTTGTAAAATCACATATCTTGAACATATAAATCTTGCCAAGATGTGTTGGTGTGATTCTGTTTCATCAGAATTTTCTTGCTGCATTTAAATTTTAGGACCGTAGAGCTGGACGGGATAACATGAGCTCCCTACAAGATGGGGAGAAGGATAGATTGACAGAGAAGCCTGTGAATGAATCAGGTGACAGTAGTGGATATGAAAGTGGCGCCCAAACTAATAGATCATTACGGAGAAAACCAGAATCTGAAGAGCAATAGCTGTGCAAAATCAAAGCTAAGCTGAATTGACTACGTTCTTCAGAGCCAGCTCAGGCAAACACTACTTTCCCATCTCCGTATGTGCATAAATATGATTCATGCTGTCTTTCAATGCAATATATATTTTATTGTTTGTAGATTATGCAGCCTTTCATTCCAATCTCAGTATATTCCATTTGCTATTAAGTAGTAAGATTTTGCTGTGCTGTGATATTATTCAGTAGTAAGATTTTGCTGTGCTGTGGTGCTCTGTAGACAGGCCAATAATAATACCATGTTACTATTTTTAATTCTGAATACCAACTATTGTTTTGTTTACTTCATTTCTTGGCTGTTACTCATGTAGATGATTATGGTGTTAGTATAATCTGATTATTGTTTATTGATACAGGGATCACCGAATTATTAGAATTAAAGTAGGAACAACTGCAAAATCCGATTTTGTAAAGCCTGATTCTATTGTTTTCTGTGGAACTCAACTGCCGGCAGACAAGAGAGTACATCAATAGATTGTTGTTGTTTTACGAAAGATTCTACTTTAAATGTTCAAATGGTTGAACATTGACAAACTCCCTTTGATTAGAAGTGATTAAATGACAAAATATCTTCTGTACCAAGTTGGGTAGGGATATCCTATTTTCATTATTTTCAAAGTCCAAGGTTCAAGATAAAGATAAGATGACCTCACAAGGCTCCTGACTAAAGAGCTGTTTACTGTTTAGTTGTTACAAGGCACAAGCCTCTTGTTCAGACACAGCTTGACTCGATTGGTCAGAAAAGGAGATGCTCATAATGGTTAGCAAGAACATGACAAACTTTAGCTCATTATTTTTATCCTATGCTATTCTCTCTACAAACTTCCCTCAATCTCCTTGGATACTTCATTAACTTTTGACATTTACATACATTTTCTTTGTTATTGGGTAGATTCAGCTTATTTAATTTTTCGAACGAGCTATTTTCCATGAAACTGATCTCTTGAACATGATGAAACATTTGGATCTTACAGTTCACATGCATCCCTTACGAGTTGGGGATTTATTTACGGCAAGAGAAAAACCTTGACAGCTAAAGGTCTATGATTGGGCCCGCTGTCATTTCATTTTTTTTCGAGAGACATTTTGTGTGGTTTTTCATCTTTTAATGAAGGGGGCTCTCTCTTGCATGATTAAGCCTTTTGGTCCCCCACAAACAAGACTACGTGTTCATGTCGAATAACTTCTTACGAGATTTCGTTTGTCGTCTGTTGATTTAGAATCCCTTTCACGACATAAAAGCTCAATTGCAGATCAAATTTTACATACATTCCAGGTTTGAAAAAATATGAAAAGCCTAGATTTTTGGACCCCATTAATTTAACAAAGTTTGCTCTTATTGCCACCATCAATTCCCACAAACTTATATATATTTCCCGTTTTGGTATGTTGTTTCTTCCACGTTTCTTTGGGACAGAGTTATTGTATAATTAACAACATTTCTTTTCTTTTTCTTTTTTGGTAAATGATTAACAACATTTCCGGGCAATAGCAAAAATGAAGCACGGCAGCAGAAGGCCATCATCAATGAAAACAACTTAATTTAAAAAAGGAAAAAATCTTTGGTTAAAAGTAATTTGGATTGCTTCCCTCTTCTTCTCTCTGTAATAATTTGAGATAAGTAAATATCTTTTATTTGACTTCTCATCCAAAAAAAGGCCTTTAAATTCCGAAACATATTAAGAGGTGTCGAGAACAGTACATGCTGGAATCTGGAAACAAAGAAGAAACATTCTGGAGGTAAGATCTATCTTCTTTCTTCATCGACTTTTATTATGTCTGTGCCTTTTAGTTTTGCTATTTGAATCTCAAATGTTTGGGACTATGCTAATGGCTAAATACATTGTCATCTGTTACTCATGACATTTTTCGTGGAATTAGTAAAAATAAATATGGCTGTCCCTTTTTTCCCATATGTATGGGGTAAGGAGAGGTAAGATAGTAGGTTATCCCCAACACCAAGTTAAGAGCAGCTTCCGTAAGAGACCTCCGAATTATGAAATGCCCTCCGTGGTACTCGATCCCACGACCTCAAGGTTAAGAACCTTATGCTCTACCAACTGAGTTGGATGGTCATTTCTTTTCGTGAAATTAGTGAAGATTGGATATTATCTCAAAATAATGGTTCATTCATTGCCTCAAACCCTATCTATCAAAAAAACAAAAATGAAGCCTGGCATTATTGGGGTAATAGAGTGGTGATCTTTTCTTGATTCATGGAGTTTTGAATAATAAGGGGTCTCACCTAGAGGTTGAGAACTACTATGGAGCATGATACTGACACTGTGTAGGAATGTTGATCAATCCGCTTGACATAACCGAAAAATACCTGAGGAACTTCTTCATTACTCTCGACACTCAGAGCAATGCTCTGCTTCTAATATTTCTCAGTGAATATTAGACTAGGAGGCTTTACTGTTAATGTCATTCCATTTGAACTTGTTGCGATTGCCTGATAGTTGGATTCGCTGTCTCCTACATAGTCACCACCCTGATGAAGTTCATTGCCTTGGGAGAGCTTTCATCTTTGCTAAATATTGCTATAATTATAAAGGATGGGTTTTTGCATTCCCATTGACTTCGTCCAAGCAAATCTCTCATCCTTGCATCATTGAAGCCAAGGCTGCTAAGGAAGCCGATGTAATCTCGGAATTCAATGTCATTGATGTCTAAAGGTGTTCCCCGGATATCATGAAGTTGGTTTGTCAAAGCAGTTCCATTTGTTGTTGATATTATATGTAGTGGTCATCAACGCATCATAACTTATCCGATGGCTGCCAGGCTCCACTTAGGGTTAAGAGCTTTCAACAAAGCTACCACACCTGCATGGTGTGCTGCCATTGATGTGCCTGGGCACTATACATAGTCTGTCACAAATACGTAATTGCCTGTTTTAGTGAAAGCCCTGTTTAGGGAGTGCGTTGTGAGTAGCTTGCCAAATGACTTCTGATATGTAGCAAAATGAGCTGGAGATTTCTCAATTTCAGATAGCTTAGTGGAAGTGAGCTATGTATTGAATCCATGAGTGATATGCTTGTTGGAGTAGAAAAACATTTCTTAATCATTATCTTGGTTGGACGATGATCTAAGAGTAACGGATAGATCAGCTCCATAACACGTGGGTTGAGAAAGAAGCAGGTTTATGTGAATGGTTCTTCTGGACTGTGTATGTCTTGTATTCTTCAGGTTCTGACATTGCATTGTTGATTTCAAGCGGCAAAAACAAAAGTAGCCACAAGATAACAGTGCTTAGTGTACAAATTCATCATTCTAGTCAATGCTTCACAGAGGGAAGAGTGTGGATCAGGAACATCTTTATGGATGATTATTTTTTCTAGCAGTCTTCAAGGCCCATGGTCTTTCTTCTGGGGTCATGTAGCAAAAATAACATATAGCCAGTCCAACAACAACGTTGTTAAGAAACTATCTTGTTGTTTTGTTTTTGCTTAAGATTTCCAAAATGATTCCACTGCCAATAAGTTTAGCTGATGAATAAGATATTTCGAAATTCCAATTCAAATTTGCTTGCTCATATAAAAAATTAAGAAACTGAAAACAATATCTGTTCTCTACAGGGAACATTATTGCCACACGAGTCTATGACTGACAGATCTATCTTAAAGCTTTAAATCTTCAAGATCAACAATCACGTGATATATTGATGAATAATTATGTTAAGAATGTGATTAGGAATTTAGGACCACCACAGGGCTCGCAACTATGTGGCTATTTTGATAAACCCACTTTAGATAACCGTAGGTCACTGGAGGAGCTTTACCGTACATCTGCACGCTCACAACAAATTTTTGCTTTTGGTATTTGTTTGTGAAGGTTAGGGTGGATGGCTCCACTGTGAATGTCGTTCCATAGGTTGTTTCCACAACAGCGTGGTAAACTGATTGGTCATCCCCCACATTGGTTACAACTTGTTGAAAGTATTAAAATGGTTTTCAAGTTTGGTAATCAATTTTGAAAAAATGGTTTTCAAAGTTTGATAAATGTTTCTTTGAAAATGGTTTTCAAAGTTTGGTAAATGTTTCTTTGAAAAATAGTTTTTCAAAATTTGGTAGATGTTGTTGAAAAATGATAATAGGATAATCACAATTAATCCCTAGGTTTTAGGGTATTTACAAGATTAAGTCCTTAAGTTTCAACTATAAATACCCTAGCACATTTAGCTTCAAAACCATCCCAAAAATCATTTATTTCTCCCAATACTAGAGAGTTTTCTTGTGAGTAGTGAGTGTTTTGTAAACACTTGTAAATTTTCTCTCTTAGTAAAAGATCTGCAGCAGTCTGGAGACGTAAGCACAATTGGCTGAACTCCGTTATCAATTTCGGGTATTATTTTTCCGCTTTTATTTTGCATTCTCACTAATCTGGTTATAGGGAAATTACTTGTACTTGGTTTATTTCCCAACAACTGGTATCAGAGCTTTTGGGTTGTGAATTTTGTCAATTTTTTGCGAGGTTACTATTCGGGTTACTATTCACGTGAATAGTGAAATTCGGTCGGCGATACGAGTTTGTCGACGGAGGTGTTCTAATACACGGCGGTTCGCAAAAATTGTCAGAAACGATCCAAACGAAGCCAGATTCGAGTGGGAGCGATGGCTGCAGACGAAGGGAATGTGAAAATTGAAAAGTTCGATGGTGCGGACTTTGGATTTTGGAAGATGCAAATTGAAGATTTTCTATACCAGAAAAATCTATATCAACCCCTCTCAGGAAAACAACCAGAGGGCATGAAGAATGAAGACTGAGCTCTTCTCGACAGACAAGCCCTCGGAGTTATCCGACTGACGTTATCCCGCAATGTTGCTTTCAACATAGCAAAAGGAAAAGACCACGGCGGGTCTTATGACGGCTCTCTCCAGTATGTATGAGAAGCCATCGGCCTCAAACAAAGTTCATTTGATGAGACGATTATTCAATTTGCGGATGACGGAAGGGGCATCGGTGGCACAACACCTAAATGAACTCAACACAATCACAACTCAGTTGAGTTCAGTGGAAATTGAATTTGATGATGAAGTTCGAGCTTTAATTCTCTTATCATCTTTACCAGACAGTTGGAATGCTACTGTTACAGCAGTCAGCAGTTCGTCGGGAAACAGCAAATTAAAATTCGACGATTTCGGGATATGGTACTGAGCGAAGAAATTCGACGGAGAGAATCGGGTGAAGCATCAACCTCCTCAGCCTTACACACGGAGTCCAGAGGGAGAACTTCAGAAAGAAATTCAAATCGTGGCAGATCGAAATCCAGAAGGGGAAAATCAAGAATAGGAAATAAAGATTTTACCTGTTATAATTGCGGCAAGAAGGGCCACTTCAAAAGAGATTGCCGAGCACCGAAGAAAAATACCGGCGCACAAGAATCTGCCAACATGACGGAGGAGACAGGTGATGTCATGATTTTAAGCGTCAACAGTCCGATTGAATCATGGATTTTGGATTCAGGGGCATCTTTCCACTCCACGCCATGCCAAGAAATCATGGAGAACTATGTCAGTGGTGATTTTGGGAAGGTTCATCTTGTTGATGATGAAACCTTGAAGATCGTCGGAAAAGGAGACATCCGACTAAAGCTGCCAAACCAGACCACCTGGAAGCTGACAGGAGTGAGGCATATTTCTGGTCTCAAAAGAAATTTGATTTCTGTAGGACAGCTTGATGGAGAAAGATACAGTACAACCTTTTCAGGTTGTGAATGGAAGATTACCAAAGGAGCACTCATCATTGCTCGTGGTAAGAAGACTGGTACTCTCTATGTAACCTTAAATTTAGAGAATATCATTACAGTAGCAGATGCTGATGGAAATCAAACCTATGGCACCAAAGGCTTGGCCATATGAGCGAGAAAGGGATGAAGACACTTTTGTCAAAGGGGAAGCTGTCGGATCTAAAGAATGTAGATGTCGGACTATACGAGGATTGCATCTTTGGCAAACAAAAAAAAAGTCAGCTTTGCAAAGATTGGTAAGACACCCAAGCCTGAAAAGTTAGAGTTAGTTCATACTGATGTATGGGGACCATCTCCAGTTCCATCTCTTGCAGGCTCATTATATTATGTCACCTTCATCGATGATTCTAAAAGGAAGGTGTGGGTTTATTTTTTGAAGAAAAAATCAGAAGTCTTTGATACCTTCAGAAAATGGAAGGCCATGGTGGAAAATGAGAATGGTATGAAAGTCAAGCGGTTGAGGTCTGACAATGGAGGAGAGTACAGAAATAGGAGATTCAGAGATTTTTGCGCAAATAATGGGATCAAGATGGAGACAACAGTTCCCATGACACCGCAGCAGAATGGCGTAGCAGAGCGCATGAACAGAACTCTGAATGAACGTGCCAGAAGCATGAGGATACATGCCGGATTGCCCAAATTTCTATGGGCTGAAGCTATTAACACTGCAGCTTACCTGATCAACCGTGGGCCCTCAGTTCCTTTGGATGGCAGAATACCAGAGGAAGTTTGGAGCAAGAAAAAAATAAACCTTTCACACTTAAGAGTGTTTGGTTGTATTTTTTATGTACACATAGACTCTGCTGAAAGAAGTAAACTTGATGCTAAGTCCAACAAATGTGTCTTTGTTGGTTACGGCGGTGATGAGTTCGGTTACTGGTTTTGGGACTATGAAAATCGGAAGATCATTAGAAGCAGAGATGATGTCATTTTTAATAAGAATGTGATGTACAAAGACAGGTCAACTGTAGAATCAAGCAGCTCCAATACCAAAGCTGAAACAAAGGAATTTGCTGAGTTTGAGGAGATTTCTGGAAATGATGTTCAGATCAGTCCTGAAGCAGTTCAAGAAGAACCAGGCACACCGGAACTAAGACGCTCCTCCAGAATTCTTAAACTAACCCAACGGTATTCTCCTTCTTTGCACTACTTGTTGCTGACTGACAATGGTGAACCAGAGTGCTATGATGAAGCAATGCAAGTGGATGATTCAGTCAAGTGGGAGTCTTCCATGAAAGATGAGATGGACTCGATTTTGTCAAATCAGACGTGGGAATTAGCTGAATTACCACCAGGCAAGAAAGCGCTTCACAATAAGTGGATTTACAGGATCAAAGAAGAGCACGATGGGAGCAAACGCTACAAAGCGAGATTGGTTGTCAAAGGTTTTCAGCAAAAAGAAGGTATTGACTACAATGAAATTTTCTCTCCAGTCGTGAAACTGTCTACAATCAGACTGGTGTTGAAAATTGTAGCTGCAGAGAATTTACATCTTGAGCAGTTAGATGTAAAGACAGCTTTCCTTCATGGTGATTTGGAGGAAGAAATCTATATGAGGCAGCCAGAAGGCTTCATAGAGGCAGACAAGAAAAACCTGGTATGTAGGTTAAAGAAGAGCTTGTATGGTTTAAAACAAGCTCCTAGACAGTGGTACAAGAAGTTCGATAGTTTCATGAGTAGCAGTGGTTTTACCAGATGCCAAGCAGATCATTGTTGCTACATCAAGAGGTTCGACAATAGCTTCATTATTTTATTGTTGTACGTTGATGACATGCTCGTTGCAGGCTCAGACATGCAAGAGATTATAAACTTGAAGCAAAAATTGTCAAAGCAGTTTGCTATGAAGGATATGGGCGCTGCAAAGCAGATTCTTGGGATGAGGATCAAGATAGACACAAAGTCAGGGACTTTGATATTATCACAGGCTGAGTACATCAACAAAGTACTCTCCAGGTTCAACATGCAAGATGCTAAACCAGTAAGTACACCTTTAGGTGTTCATTTCAGACTCTCCAAGAACAGTCACCAAAGACGGAGGAAGAACGTGCACACATGGTGAAGGTGCCGTACGCCTCAGCGATTGGAAGTCTGATGTATGCCATGGTTTGTACCAGACCAGATATTGCTCAAGCAGTGGGAGCTGTTAGCAGGTACATGAATAATCCGGGCAAGGTACACTGGGAAGCAGTCAAATGGATCCTCAGATATCTGCGGGGTACCACAAACAAAGCACTTTGTTTCAAAGGTGGAGATACGATACTGACAGGCTATGTAGATGCTGACTTAACCGGAAATGTTGACATCAGAAGGAGCACTACAGGGTATGTCTATACTCTAGGAGGAACCGCAGTGAGTTGGGTTTCTCAACTACAGAAGATAGTTGCTCTCTCCACAACTGAAGCAGAATATGTCGCTGTTACGAAAGCTAGCAAGGAGATGGTTTGGCTCCAAAGTTTCTTGGAAGAGTTAGGCAAGAAACAAGAAAACAATGTCTTGTATTGCGACAGTCAAAGTGCTATACATCTAGCAAAGAATCCGTCTTTTCATTCCAGGACAAAGCACATACAATTGCGATATCATTTTATCCGGTCTCTTCTGGAAGATGAGATTTTGAAACTTGAAAAGATCAGTAGAGCTCAAAATCCGACAGATATGTTGACAAAGACGGTGACTACAGACAAACTGAAGTTGTGTTCAACTTCAGTTGGCATGCTAGAGTAACAAGACTAGAAAAGCTGTTGCATTGATCGAGGTATGAAGACAGATTAAAATCAGTCTTCAAGTGGGAGATTGTTGAAAGTATTAAAATGGTTTTCAAGTTTGGTAACCAACTTTGAAAAAATGGTTTTCAAAGTTTGGTAAATGTTTCTTTGAAAATTGTTTTCAAAGTTTGGTAAATGTTTCTTTGAAAAATAGTTTTTCAAAGTTTGGTAGATGTTTGTTGAAAAATGATAATGGGATAATCACAATTAATCCCTAGGTTTTAGGGTATTTACACGATTAAGTCCTTAAGTTTCAACTATAAATACCCTAGCTCATTTAGCTTCAAAACCATCCCAAAAATCATTTCTTTCTCCCAATACTAGAGAGTTTTCTTGTGAGTAGTGAGTGTTTTGTAAACACTTGTAAATTTTCTCTCTTAGTAAAAGATCTGCAGCAGTCCGGAGACGTAAGCACAATTGGCTGAACTCCGTTATCAATTTCGGGTATTATTTTTCCGCTTTTATTTTGTATTCTCACTAATCTGGTTATAGGGAAATTACTTGTACTTGGTTTATTTCCCAACACAACTCTGGTAAAGTTCTTCACATTCGGAGAGCTTGCGTTAAAGATGGCAACAAATGATGGGTAGTTTATATCTGTTTGGTTTTGGCTGCAATTCCATTGGCTTCGTCTAAGAATAGCTTTCATCTCTGCTTCACTGTAGCCTAGACCACATAAGAAATCAACATAACCTTGCCAATCTATGTCATAGATGAGCCCGGGATCCATGGCTTTGTTTGGATTGATATGACCTGCCCCATAATCTAGAGGTGTTCCTGGAAGGTTAGTGGACTGGTCTGTCAAAATTGTTCCATTGTTGTCAATGGTATATGCTGTGGTCATCAAGGCTGATCGAATAGCTGCTGGACTCCATTCAGGGTGAACAGCTTTAAGCAAAGCTGTCACTCCAGCAACATGGGGTGCTGCCATTGATGTGCCTGAATATAATGCGTAATCTGAAGCCAATTGATAATTATCAACATATTGAACTGGAATTATTGGTGGAATTGCAGCCAACACATCGACCCCTGGAGAAATTATATCTGGCTTTAGAATGCTTGGGCTAATAGGGTTTGGTCCTCTGGAAGAGAAGTAGGCCACTTGTGGTGCTGGCTTTGTGCCGTAACTTGTGAGCGCGAATCTCATGATTTTTACTCTTGCGTCATCAGCTGCCTCTGTAGCATACTTTTTTATCAAAGCACCTGAAGAAGAAGGTAAAATCAGGCTTGGAATGCTGAGTCCATTAATTCCCTCCGGGGTCGAATCTGAGATAAGTATTCCTGCAGCTGCACCATTCCTTGAAAGCTCTCTCGCTTGCTCAAAAACGCTAATAATGCTGTTGTTATCACATATGACCACCTTTCCAAAGACTTCATTTTCACTCAATGCTCCAATGTTGCATATTGCTTTGTCAGAATCACCTTTGCCATAGTACAAAGGTGTATCTATAACTAAAACACGGTTTGGGAACTGTGATTTTCCTTCAAATGTTTGATTATTTCCTAAGGTCACCGTTGCAGTGAAACTCCGATCAAGAGTTCCTGCACCAACAGTAGTAATCCACGGTGCTGCATTTTGTGTAGTATAAGGTGCTCCATCATTCCCTGCGGAGCAGACAACAACAATTCCCTTCTCTATCGCTGAAAGGGAAGCAATGGCTATGACATCTTCGAAATAATCTATCTGACCAAAACCCAGAGATAGTGACATGATGTCAACACCATCTGCGATTGCTTGATCCATGGCAGCAAGAACGTCACTTTCTACAATTAATTCTCCAGATGATACTTTGTACATAGCAACATGTGCACCTGGTGCCAACCCCCGGGCTACACCCTGTGCATATCCGAATTGACTTGCACCTGGTACATGGTTACCTGCGGCGGTTGATGACGTGTGTGTTCCGTGTCCCAAATAGTCTCTTGGTGTATCGTCTGGTGAGTCCGACTCACCTGCAGCCTGACTTCCTTTGATAAATACTTGGGCGCCAATGAGTTTTCTATTGCAAGGAAAAGGGTCGATTGTACTATTCTGACACTTGCCCTTCCACCTAGTAGGAACTGCTGGCATTCCTTTTTCATTGAAACTCTCGCTCTCAGGCCAAATTCCTGAATCAATCATTCCTATAATCACGCCTTCACCATACGATGACGCATTGCACAGGCCAGATGAATGCCTTAACCCCATGAACTGAGGGGAGTGTGTGGTGAACAGTTTGCCAGATTTCTCCTCGTGCATGGCGATATGAGCCGGAGATTTCTTGATTTCCGATGCTTGAAAAGGTGTCAGCCTAGCACTGAACCCATGCATGACATGGTTGTAAGAGTAAAGTAGCTTGTCTTTGTCATGAACGGGTTTTGACAGCGATCGTAGGATGGTCCGGTGCCAAGTTTCATGGGTCAGAAAAGACGAAGGTTTTAGTGAAGGGTCCATATGGACTATGTACGTCTTGTATTCTTCAGGTTCCGACACTGCATTGTTGACTCCAAGCACGAAAAACAATAAAATAAATAGAATGAAAGGATGGTAATTGCAGAAACTCATCTTTCTAGTCTAGCAGATCGGCTAAAAACTAGGCTAGAAAGATCTACGTTTGATGATTGTCCCATCATTCCCACCCACACGTTTATATATACGTCAGAAATGAAACAAAAGACGACATGAACTGCATAACGTTAAATCCAACTTGATTTTGGCTCCATGTCCGGTTCCTTTTATGTATTGATTTCTCCAAAGTTCTGCTCATCAATGTTAGCTTCAACCTTTGTTATTTTTTGTTTGCCTTTTCTGTCATTATCTCACTTTGTTGCTAATGCTTATTAGTATCTCAATTATTTGCTCCTGTTCCCTTGCATGTTTCTGAATGTAAAATGTACTTTGTATTTTCATTTTCCTCAAACAGTTAGACTAATAATTACGCATAACTGTTTAATCCATTGATAGTAAACATCAAGCAGTTACATGTACTTTCCTATGTGAAAGATGGAAAAAAATTGTTTCTGAATGTAAGATGATATAATAATACATGTCATCTTAACAGAACGTTATTTTTTAATCAGTTAATTTAATTTAATAAAAAAATATTTTTATAAATTAAAAAATATAAAAAAAACAAAATAATATTTTATAGAATTCAAGGATGAAAAAGGAACGCCAACCGTTAAATACAACTCGATATTGGGTCCATGTTGTATTTCTTGTAAGTGTTGATTTCTCCTATGTTGTGCTCATCAATGTTAGATTGAAGGGCGGCAGAATTTTTGTTAGTCATATGTGTCAGTTTATGTTGGTTATGCTCATCAATGTTTGTGTTCCTATTTCCTATGTTTTCATTCTATCTCATGGAACAGCATGCTATTAACGAAGACGCGTAAGCCTAATACCGTCATTGGAAGTTTCTTTTGTTTCGAACAGTTGCATGAATTTTGCTGGTTACCGTATAAAACTTCACCATAAAATTATAAAAATGTAAATATATATAACTACAAAAGGATAGATAGAATTTTCCTAATTTTTAAACATATATGTATACAATAAATACTTATATTTTAATGAACAGTATGCAATTTCAATCCCTGGCAACCCAGATTTATTTTATTTGGAATTTTTAAAAATTTACATAAATACTTAAGAATTTGGTCCCTTCCTTCCCTCCGATTCATTAAATCTGAACAGCTGGTTGTTAATCTAGGGGCAATAATTGTAATTGTAAACTGGGCATGATTATTTGAATAAGTTATGGGCAATATGGGCTTAGCCTGTAAATGCCATAAACTATGATGAGAATTAGATCAGTATCAACAGAAAGGGCAGGGTATTCGGCCCAGAGAAAAATCCATTTAATATTTCCTTAGAAAATGTTTTGAGGGTCAAAATGGGACCAAATCATAATTCTATTACTGTATTAACAGACAAATTCATTATTTTAGAAGGGACTAGAAGACAAATTTTGCAACTTGGAGGGAACAGGGCCATTGCATTCGCCCCTAAATGCGGACGTCTACTGCGCGGATCTTATAATTGGAACTGTATTTACATGAAAAAATAAGGTGGCGAGGAAGGGATGCACATAGTTATTTGGCATAAATGAAGGTATCAAACGATCTACCTAACCTAACCTAGCCTAACAAAATATCTGTCAAAATCATATTATCGACAAAAGAAGATGAAAAATGAGAAACCAAAACAGGTGGGAATAAATAAACAAAAGGCAAATATTGAGACATTCATAGAGCAGGGTATCATCCCACATGGGGGCACATGCTTTTACTTTAGATTTAGATACCCTTCCGGCTTCCCTCCCTTGAGATGATGGTTTCACATCCATCTCTCTCTCACACACAAGTTATTCTCAAACAGATCATCAAAACCCGAACAATAAAACTTACCTCCAATTTGTAATAACCAACCCCTACTATATAAACTGACGCACAACAAAGAGTGTTGGGTGAGAACCGATGCATACGACGCCGAGAATGCACGCCAAGACAGACTCAGAGCCAGAGGTAACCAGCCTCGCCACATCATCGCCAACGAGGTCACCGCGGCGTCCAGTTTACTATGTGCAGAGCCCTTCCCGTGATTCACACGATGGAGAAAAGACCACGACCTCGTTCCATTCAACGCCGGTGCTCAGCCCCATGGGTTCACCACCGCACTCCCATGCCTCCGTGGATCGCCACTCGCGTGAGTCGTTGTCGAGTCGGTTTTCAGGGTCGCTTAAACCCGGATCCCGCAAGGTCTTGCCAAACGACGGGTCGTCTAGGGGGGGAGCACATAGGAAGGGACATAAGCAGTGGAAAGAATGTGATATGATTGAAGAAGAAGGGCTCATTGATGATGGAGAGTGTGAGAAGGGACTTCCTCGGTGTTGCTACTTTTTAGCTTTTGTTCTTGGCTTCTTCATTTTGTTCTCAATGTTTTCTCTGATTCTCTGGGGAGCTAGCAGACCCCAAAAGCCCAAGATTACCATGAAGGTAATCGGCCGGTCTCTCATTCGTTTCTTTTGAGCTTTTTAGATTGAATTACGAGATGGGTTATGATTGATTTGCTTTGTTTCATCTTTCAGAGTATAAAATTTGAGCAATTCAAGATCCAAGCTGGTTCGGATTCCACAGGGGTGGCAACAGATATGATCACCATGAACTCCACAGTGAAAATGATTTATAGAAACACTGGAACGTTTTTCGGCGTCCATGTCACCTCAACTCCTCTTGATCTCTCATATTCTCAAATCAACATCGCTTCAGGAGCCGTAAGTCTAGTCCCAAAAAACACATTACATTTGCACTATACTAAAATGTTAATTATGTCATTTGGATTAATATTTATTGAATCTGGTGTTTCAGATGAAGAGATTTTATCAATCTAGGAAGAGCCAAAGGTCTGTCACTGTAACTGTAATGGGAAACAAGGTTCCTTTATACGGAAGTGGAGCAAGTTTGAGCAGTTCAACAGGAACCACATCTCATCCAGTTTCACTTAAACTGAGCTTCGTTGTCCGATCAAGAGCTTATGCGCTGGGCAAACTGGTGAAGCCCAAGTTCTACAAGAAAATTGAATGCGACATAACTTACGATCCCAAGAAACCCAACGTCCCCATTTCACTAAAGAAATCTTGCCTATACGACTGATAAAAGATCGAATCACATGGAAAACACGCTGAAGACACTTTATTTATTTATTTTGTTAATCTGTTCTGTTGTCGAAAAAGATTGAAGTGAAGGAGAAAAACAGCTAAGCGGACAGGGATTGAGGAACGCGGTTGTAAGTTTGTTGGGGATGCCCATGTGCCCACTGAGTCAGAAACAGCACATACGTTGAATTCGGTGATTACTTGTGAGTGACAAATTTTTTCTATTTTTTAATGTAAAATTATTTATTATTATTATTGCTGATAGAAAGTGGTTAGGCGCAGACTCTATGGTTTTTCTTTTATGTTGCAAGTTGCAACAAATAGTTTGAAGCTCCTCTATACAGCCCTCCTAGGCCACTATATATCTCCTTCAAAAGAGTGGTCTAACGCAGTTAGAGAAAACTGAGATTAAGACATTGGAATTCCACAGCAGGCTCAAGCTGAAACCATTGATTTTGCTGCAGTAAAACGCTTGGGCATGTGATGTGCAGGGAATGTCCTAGCATACACGTAACATATGTTTCTCATCTTCTTAACTGCACATGCATACACCTAATGAATATAATTCAGTTTACGTTAGAATAAGAAAAGGAAAACAACAAATAAACAAGAGGCCTTACCAGGATTCAGGGGTCGGTGATCATTAATCAATTACTAAATGGTCACAAAATGAGTGATTTAGGATCAATAATGGCGATCTGCGTTCTTAAATTGATTTTTAGACAGTAAATGTTGATTTTGTTTAAAGTTGTTTTACTGAGCTGCAACTTGTAAATACTTAATGCATACACGAAATAGTAAATTGATGGTATATAAATATGACTGATTACTTACCTAATCTAATAAAGTCTCCCATAACTACCGCAGCTAGCCCGAAAAACTTGATTCGAATTAGATTATCTAAATCGATTTATTCGACTTAATATATAATATTAACTTACATATGATGATCAAAATTGATATGAGACTCGAATCATACCCGATCCAAAATTTAGCTGACCTAATATGAACTCATATCTAGTTTGACCCAAACCGAAAACAACCCAAACCGAAAAAGTAACTCGGATTAACCCGAACTGAAAAATAACCGAAACCGATAGCAATACAAACTGAATTTAACCTAGTCTGAAAGCAACCCAAACTGAATTTAACCCAGTCTGAAAGCAACCCAAATGAAAATTAATCCGAACCGAAAGTAATCTGAACTGAAAATCTATATATACTTTATTAGACTTATAACTGAACTAAGCTTGAATGATAAGATTAACAAACAAGAAGACCTATTTTTACAAGAATATATCAATAATTCAGTATATACCTGATTAGACTCATAACAAATTCAACCCGAATTGACATGATCAAAAGGTTGACCCAAGTCGATGACAATCGATTCTATATTGACCCAACTCGAAAGTTAACCAATCCGAAACGAAAACAATCGGTCCAATAATCACCTGACCCGGAAATTGACCCGACCCGATTTATCACTGCAAACACTCATTTTCATCTCTATATATATATATATATATTATATAGTTTGCAAATGATTTTTGAAAATACGTATATAATATATAGTTTTTAAAATATTTTTGAAAACTATATAATATATAGTTTTGAAAACATTTTAGAAAATATGTATATATTATATGGTTTTTAAAATCATTTTTGAAAACTTATATAATATATAGGTTTTTAAAATATTTTTGAAAACATATGATATATAATATTTTTAAAACATTTTTGAAAACATATAATATATAAGTTTTGAAAACATTTTCGAAAACATATATATTATATAGTTTTTAAAACATTTTTTTTGAAAATATATATAATATATAATTTTTAAAAATATTTTTTGAAAATATATTATTTTGAAAAACATTTTTTTAGGGTTTTGAAAACATTTTTAAAGCATTTAATATATATATATATATATATATATATATATATATTATTTATTTATTTATTATGTTTTTGCATGGTCCGAATGAAAGGGTCCACGTCTGGTCCAACAAGCCCAACCGGGTAGCCTGACCCAGGAGACCCGGTTGGGCCCAAATGCATTAGGGTTCCCACAGTTAGCTAGGCGCCACACATCAAGGAGGTTGAGGGTCAAGTCTGAAATGGTCGGCCGGAATCCCGGGACTGACCCATCCCGGGATGACCGGCCAAAACAACCAACGAGCCCCGTATTTCAGAACAGACGAACGGCCGGTGGTGGGTATAAATACCCCACCACAACACTGCAAAGGGAGGAAACCGGAGAACAAACGGCCACAAGAACACTAAACCCACGACCAATGAGCCAAACACAACGACCCAATGAGAGATCGAAACCCGAGAGTCACAGCCAACAGTGGATAGCCACAAAAACAACACACACCGAGAACAACAGAGCAACCAAACATCGATCACAACAACAATACACAACATCAACCGAGATCGGAGAACCGACCACGGAAACAAAAAAGCAAAGAACCAAACGATTTAAAACCCACATGCAAAAAGAGCAAATGCAGTAAACAACCAAAAGCTGAGCAAAATAAGGAGCAAGCACTGGGAAGACGAAGGGCCTCGCCGTAAAAGGTAAAAGTCGAATGTGTTTTCCTTAGATCTACGCGATTTGGGTTTGGTTATGGTGATTCGGGGTTTAAATCTGACCTAAGGATGACGAGAGGAACATTTTGGGGCTATTTGGTTTTTTCCGGGCGCCATCGCCGGCGGTCGGAGCGACAACGTTAGGGCAGAGAGGGGTCGAGGAAGATGATCGGCCGGTTTTGCAAGGGAGAGAATTTGAGATCATTCTCTCGGTTGGGAGAGAAAGTGCATAGAAGAAAATATGAAAATGAAATGGAAGGGGGCATTTTTGGGTATTTATATACCAATGACCATTTTACAAATAGGGAATTCTTAAATTCTCTCCGCAGTCCCTGGTATTTTGAATCGCTTTTCGTTTCGGTCACCATTTGTAATTTTGCCCTCGAATTAGTAATTTAATTAATTTGATCATGGTATATATTTTTATATCTTTGTGAATTGAGTCATAACTTTCTACTTTTTTTCAGCCCATTTTAATGCCAATTTAACCCGTTAATTCCAATTTTTAATTTGATTCTCTAAGTTTTATTTTATTTTATCAATATTATTATTATTATTTCCTTCATATTATTTTTATTTTATTTCTTTTAAATTTTATCTTTTTTATTTATTTATTTTTTAATCTTTTTCTTTTTTCCCTTTTTTATTTTATTTTTATCTATTGTATTTTTTCCTCTTTGACTTGTTCCTTTTTATTTATTTTTCTTCTTCTTCACTTATTAATTTTTTTCATTCTTTTGACTTATTATTTTTTTTGTTTTTGATTCATTTAATATTTGTTTATTGTTTTTTATCTAACATTTTCGATTTTTCTTTTAGAAGAATTTCAACCAATCAGAGGTAAACAATTCGAATCGGATTTTTAAATTCTTAATTTTCGCAATTAAAGACAACCGATAAATTAATTACTACCGAAGGGGCGGTTCAAGGATGCTAATCCTTCCTTGACCGTAACTAACTCCTGAACCGACACGTTTCCGGTACAACGCAGATCGGGTAAGATGGTGTCCGACCTACCTAAATATTTTTAAAATGATCGGTGGCGACTCTAACCTAATTAATCAAGTCGAAGCCCAATTCCAGGCCCAACCGAAAGACGGTCGCAATAATCACACACCCGAGTAAAACCCGAACCAGATCCTATCGGACCTGAATAAAATTAAACCAAATATAATCTAGACCCGAAATGACCTCAAACCTGATCCGAATGAACCGTTTAACACCTCTAACTGCAGCGTGGAGGACATCATCAGTTATCACTCCCCAAAGTCCAACACCTGTTAAATACTTGCTATTTTTTAAACCATTTGTATTTGATATATTAATTAATTATTTCAAATCAGATTTTATAGAGTTGATCGGAAACCTGATATTGTATACAAAATATTATAAAAATAAATATAAAGAGAATAATCAAGAGCAAGACCAATATAGACATAAAAAAATATAAGGATAAAATTGAAAATTTTATGAAGTTTAAGTACTAAATATTACTTTGTCATTTTTACTCCCCCCCCCCCTCCAAATGGGAAATGGCTTTCCCTCAGCAACAGTTTCAACAAGAACAACCATCTATAAGTTTCAGGTAAGCCCCTAAACAAAAAAGATCGATTTCTCGGTTATTACAAAAATAAATTTTGATTTTCTGCTAAAGAGAAAACAAAACCCTAAAAATGCTATTTGAATCTGTTTCTTTCTAATATGTTTGGTCTCAGGAACTTGTACGCAATCGATACTCAGATTTCACCGTCACTTGCTTATTACGACACGCCTAATTTACAAGAATCGTCGCAGCATCCTCCTTATATCCCTCCTTGTAAGCCCTTTTTCTTTCTTTCTTTTTTATATTTTGTCTATTTAGTCGATGAGGAATTATATGTTGATAAATTAAAAACCGAGCTTCGTTTCTGCTAGTTAGCGTCAACTTACAACATTTATCTCTCTCCTTTTATTTTAAGAACCAAATTGGAACATTGTTGTTTAATATCTCTGGGATTTAGTTGCATTCTTTGAAAACGGCCTTAGAACAACTGGGTTTGTTGGGTTTTATTTATTGTTTTTATTGGTTCAGTTCATGTTGTTGGGTTTGCCCCGGGTCCGATTCCGTTGGCTGAAGGGAGTGATGGAGGAGCTGAGATGCAATGGAACAACGGGGTTGAACCTAAAAGGAAGAAACTAAAGGAACAAGATTTTTTAGAGAACAACTCGCAGATATCTTCTGTTGACTTTTTGCAAACACGGTCAGTCTCGACAGGGTTAGGTTTGTCACTTGACAATAATAATAATCTGATGGCTTCTTCAGGTGATTCAGCTTTGTTGTCACTTATTGGTGATGACATAGATTATGAATTGATGCGACAGGATGCAGAGATTGATAGGTTTCTCAAAGTGCAGGTCAGTCTTTGTTGTCTCTAGCATCCTTTTTTTACATATAGTTAATTGGAAATAAAATGTTTCATTATCTTCCATGATTGTTGCAAGGATTGATTTATTATTTAAGGTCGTCATTCACACCATATGTGGATAGATATAGATTTTACAATCATTTAATAATTGTATATTATCATGCTTTTGAGCTAAAAATTTGCTGTTACTGTTTGTTTCACATTTTCTTTGCAGTTTGCTGTGGTTAATGATTCTGTTAGCTCTGGATAAGGAAATTATTTCATATTTGCGTATATGA